ACCCCAGCAAGAACAGTCCCAGTTCGTCACAGGGGGGCTGGCTGGAGTGGGGGGTGGGAGCTTTGCGGGTGCAGGTCCATCCCCTGTGTACCCCCAGTCCCGCCCCTCTGTCCCCCGTGGGCTCTGTCTGGCCTCGCCTGGCCGGGGGGGTCCCCTGGCTTTGTGGGCGTCCCTGTGGGTCGATCGCGAGGTGGGGGGGCAGCCCCAAGTCCCGCCGGACGGACAGATGGACTGATGGCGCCCCCCCCCCCCCACGGTGTACATCTTCGAGCTGCACATCGGGAAGGTGGTGATCGGGGACCGGGGTGACTATCGCTGCGAGGTGATGGGCAAGGAGAAGAGCGACATGTGCACCTTCAACATCGACGTGGAGGGTGAGTCGGGGGGCAGGGACCCCCCCAGAGCCCCCCAGGCTGGGGCCACTCTGAACCCCCCCAGAGCAGGGACCCCCCCAGAGCCCTCCAGACTGGGGACACCCTGAACCTCCCCAGAGCAGGGACCCCCCCAGAGCCCCCAGACTGGGACACCTGAACCCCCCAGAGCAGGGACCCCCCGGGTCAGGGACACCCCCCAGAACCCCCAGGCTGAAGAGACCCTGAACCCCCCAGAGCAGGGACATCCCCCCAGAGCCCCCCCAGGCTGGGGAGACCCAAACCCCCCCAGGGCAGGGACACCCCCTTGGGTCAGGGATGCCCCCCAGAGTCTCCCCAAGGCTGGGGAGACCCCAAAACACCACCCTGAGCAGGGACACGCCCCCAGAGCAGAGGCAGAGGGGGCGGGGATCATGGGGGCCGAAGCAGGACATCATCCTGTCCCCATCCCTCTTTCCCAGCCCCACGGACGGACGAGAGTGACAATGTGCTCCAGGCCTTCAAACGGACGTGAGTGCCAGCGCCCCACATAACTCCCCCACCAGCGCCCCACATAACTCCCCACCAGTGCCCCATAGCGCCCCACACCCAGCGCCCTAGTGTCCCCCATAACTCCCCACCAGCGCCCCATAGTGCCCTACAGCTCCGCACAGTGCCTCCCATAACACCCCCACCAGTGCCCCACAGCTCCCCCAACCAGTGCCCCACAGCTCCCCACAACTCCCCCCACCAGCGCTCTTAGTGCCCAATAGTGCCCCACAGCATCCCCCACAACCTCCCACCAGTGCCCCACAGAATCCCCCACAATTCCCCACAACCTCCCACCAGTGCCCCACAGAATCCCCCACAATTCCCCACAACCTCACACCAGTGCCCCACATAATCCCCCACAATTCCCCACAACCCCCACCAGTGCCCCACAGCATCTCCCCCCCTTGTCCCACCCCCTAGCATAGGGGAAACTGAGGCACCCACACGGTAGTCAGAGAAAACATTGAGAACATTCCCACGTTGTCACACCTGCCAGTGCCCCACTGCTCCCCACAGCGTCCCCCACAACTCCCCCGCCAGTGCCCCACAGCATCCCCACAACTCCCCTGCCAGTGCCCCCCCACAACCCCCACCAGTGCCCCACAGCATCTCCCATAATCTCCCCACCAGTGCCCCACAGGGTCTCCCATAATCCAACACGCAAGTGCCCCACCGCATCCCCCACAACTCCCCCGCCAGTGCCCCACAGCCAGTGCCCTGCGGGGTGACACTCTCTCTCTCTCCGCAGTGGGGAGGGGAAGGACAACGTGGCCGGGGAGCTGGACTTCAGCGGGTTGCTAAAGAAGAGGTAGGTGCCCCAGGGGGTGTGTGTGGGGGAAGTGTCTATCTGTCAGTCCTGGGGCGCGTGGTGGGTGGGTCTGTCTGTCTGTCCGTCCCTGGAGCGGGGCGGTGGGTGGGTCTGTCTGTCCGTCCGTCCATGAGGCGGGGGGGGACACTGGGTGTGTCTGTCCGTCTGTCCCTGCAGTGGGGCACCGGATGGGTCTGTCTGTCTGTCCCGGGGTCCCAGGCTCTGGTCTCTGCCCTGGTCCGGCCCCAGGCTCCTAGAAGTAAACTCGGTAGTGGGCCGGCACCGCAGCCCCCCCGGTCCCAGCCAGGGCCAGCACCCCCCGTCCCTCCCCAGGGTTCCCTGGCGGAGTGGGAGACGCTCTGTCCGGGCCAAGCCACCCCTGGGTCCCCAGCTCCGGTCCCACGTGCCCTCCCCACCCCAGGGTGCCCTGTTGGTAGGTGAGGATCGCTCAGCCTGGGGGGGAGGGGCATCTCTTTGTCTCGCTGGCCCCTCTGCTGAGCTGGGTCGTTAATGACTGCGTTAACCCCCCCAGCCACCAGGGGACACCCCCCCCCCCGCAAACTCAGAGGGAAACTGAGGCAGCCCTCGGCCTCTTCAAAAATTGGGCCTAGTTCGTGGGTGGAGGGTTTTTTTTTGCCGGCTCCACTTTGACCCTCCCCCTCA